CTCTAAGCCTTGTCCTGAAAGGAAACAGCACATCATCTTCATCATCATAATAATAATGATAGTAGTAGTAGTAGTAGAAGAAGAAGAAGAAGAAGAAGAAGAAGAAGAAGAAGAAGAAGAAACAGAAAAGATAAGTTTACTGGGTTCCACCATTTTGAATAATTCAACATACATGTGAATAAACTTGACCTTTAAAGTTGTCAACTGTTTTAATATTGATGATAATAACTTTTTTTTTAGTCAGTGCCCACAACTTACCATGACAAAATGCTCTTGTTGATCTTAATGTATAACCTTTATATTCCTCATTAAAGTTGTTTTGTAAACATTTTTAATGTATTTAACCTTTCTATACTTTTATTTATAATTTTATTCTCAAGGTCAAGACAAGAATTTATTATATTTGATTCCATTTTATGCTTGTAATTAATTTTCTCATTGAGTAAAGTTTTGACCATAAAATGTCTTGTTTTATCATAGTGATTTTCCAAGCGTAGCTTGGATGTGGCACAAGGCCGAAAGTAAGAGGCACCCAGTGAGGATCGAACTCACTACTCAGTCGTAATTGTTCTAGCGAGACAAGCTTGCTAACCATTACACCACCTCGAGGTGCCCATCTTGTTTTATCATACACCGTATTAATAAGACTTTGTGATTTGGCAAATAATGTGATTTCAAATGTAAATTTCATAAAATGTTTTACTATTATCAAAAGTTGTGGTAAATGTTATACACAAGAGCAATGTATACATCCATCTTGCACATTTATAAATGTACCATTCATATTTGTGTTGAATACTATTGCCATATCTGGTCTGGTGCTCCTGCTATATATCTTGTGATTCTTGACAAAATCCAAAGAAAGATCTGTAACATAATCAATCCTGACCAAGCATCTTGACTTCAGTCACTTTTACACCAATATGACATAGCTTTCCTCTATCTATTTTTACAAATAATTTCATGGCAGCTGCTTTGACAAGCTTTTTCCCCTGGTGCCCTGACCACATGAATTTAAGCATGCTACTAGATTGGCAACTAGGTCTCAACATTTTACTGTTGAACTAGCTAGATGCAACCTCCACTTCTACTTGAATAATTTTTTTTTTCCCACTATCTACCTTTGGAACTCTCTTCTGCTTCTATGCTTCTCTGATAACTAAAATCTTTGAAAATTTAAATGCAGTGTAAATTGCCATCTTCTGTCTTCTGGAACCCTGTTCCTTTTCTAACTTTTTCTCAATCCTCCCCACTCTCAGTTTTCTCATTCTCTTTCACTTTCACTCCCTGTTACCCCCTGCAGTCTAGTAGCATAGTAGCCTTGCTTAGAGTGAAATGATTAAAATAAATTGTTGGGATATCTAATATGTAATTGTGTATCAAATATTATTTTGCTATTAAAAAAATCAAAGAAAATTATCAAAAAGCAGTACTTATTGTAATAACCAGTCATTGCAGTCATCTGACATTGCATCGGCTCTTAAAAATAATTATGAATGCTTTAGAACTCTACTACTAAACACTTATTCTGTATTGTCCTTTCATTTAGCTGCATTTGTTTTTCTTTTTTATTTTTTTACTGGGGTTCAACCAATACAAGACTTGAGAGCCACTCAAGGTAGAGACTTGCTGAATGATGTGTGTGATATGAAAGTAAGAGGAAGTATTAATTTATCTTAGTTAATATTTGTTAGGGGAAGCTGATTTACTCCTCCTAAAAGGGACAATAACTCAAAATATAATTGAGTTACTTCCCTTGTTTGCTAGTTGGAGCAGGCACTTCTGAATTCAACATGGTGACAAGTTTGTGGAATTGATGGTTTAAATCCAAACTAATCCTTGCTGTTCTCAGGCAGTAAATGAATAAAAATTATTTTATTATGTGTTAAAATACACTTGTCTTTTATTTTCATTCATTTTTGTTCATCCCAACAACCTGGGATATAATAATAATATCAATAGTCAATTGATTATGAATTTATTTTTATAATGCATTTTTTTTTCAAGTGCCATATGTGATATACACTTAAGGGATTATATCGCTTTCAGTTCATGACTTTCCTACAGTAGGCTGCAGTTTCTTTTTGGAGTAGACTGGTTGCCAACTAAGGTTATAGGGAGGGGTCTGTTTGTCTTGGTATTCAACCCATGGCTGCAGGAAGAAGACATGAATTCATACTTTTCCCAAGGGTATTTGTGCATAGATCTGTTTTGAATATTCATCATCATTACATCACCCATCTGGAAGAACAAGTCTGATGGATTGGCCATGTTATCCAAATGCAGCAATATCACATTCCCAGATGCCTGTTGTATGGAAGCTGCTATGTGGCAGAAGACAGCAACAAGCTGACTAAAGAAATGGTACAAAGATACAATCAATCAAAGCATCACTGGTGCAAGATCAGACCAAAGGAGCTAGAGCTGTGTTCACATGCATTTGCCTGCCAAACCTCTGCAAGTTTCAAATGGCATAATAAAATCAATATACAGAGAACAGCACCACCATGCAACTTTGGCATTGGTCACAAAAATTGACTTTGTGTGTTGAAACTGCTCCAGATTCTGTATATACAGACTTGATTTGTGGAGCCTTCTTCAGATCTACTGATGAATTGCAAGACCAAGTAGTCTTTGTACCCAAGAGATTACAATGAATCTCAAGAATTTTTTAGCATCTTTTGATTTCTATGTACTCTTAGTTCATTGGATCTGTCATACATATTTTAGCAGAACTGCACCCCAACATGTAATCACAGAAACAAACTAGCCTAAAATATACCATATATGCTCTTGTATCATGTGATCTTTGAAGACAATTTTGAAGCTAATTTGACTACAGTAAATGGATATCTAGCTTGGTCAATGGTGTAGACAGGGCTGTCATTACATACACAAATTTTATATCTCATGTATGGTGTGATCCCCTTAAAATTAGCTTCAAAATTAGGTCTTCAAAAGTTGCATGATCTAGTTCCAAAAGAGATAAATTGGCAGCTCCAGGTTCCTGGAAATGACTATAATTTGGCCCTTCTGAACAAACTTTTTGTAGACTATGAGAGGTCAGAAGATGGTATCTCAAGTACTTGTTAACTGAATCATGAAAAATGAAAAAATAATGTCCACATTAAAAGATATTATGAAATAGCAGCAAAATTTTGAGAGGCCATTTTGCCCAAGTAAAAAAATGTTCTGTTCAAATTTTGTAATTGATAAACCTTTAGCATTCTACATTATTAATATTACTTCCTTTTCTACTGCATCCTTTTTCAAGGCCTCTCAATTGCTGTATCCTTACTGTTGATTTCACTCAAAGTTGTTTTCTGTTGCTATAGCAGGATATGACAACACAACTACGAAATTCAAACACCCTATTGTTTAGAGATCAGTCACCTTGTCTTTTAGAAACCACCACAAAAAGAAATCCAAGGTGATCTTGGTGGGTATTTAACTGTCCCTCTTCTTCCAATCCATCTGTGTTTGCATATTTGTAGGATAAACCTTTTGTAATGAAGTCACATACAGAGTGATAAAGGTTAAATACATACTGGCTGAGGAGCCACTAATGTCAAAATTATAATCCAGCATCGAGATAAAGATATAAAATCAAAACATCATCTAGGCATGACTTTTACTTCAAAATATGATTTTTTTTTCACATTTAATATTTGATATTAAAGAATTTTTGGCATTGGTTGTTGGTCATTCCTCTGATTTTTATTGGTTTTGCCAGATTTTCTTTCCTCAATAAAAACTGCCAATATACAAGGTGTCCCAAAATAATGTATACACTCTTTAAATATTAATAGTTAATAAAACATTAGCATGATGTGAGAACTTATATGGATGAAAATATGTAAAACAGATAGATTGGAAGAAGAGGGACAGTTGAATACCGACCTAGATCACCAGATTTGACACCCTTGGATTTCTTTTTGTGGGGGGTTTCTAAAAGACAACGTTTGCAGCAGAAAACCTGAAACAATTGCTGAAATGAGAGTAGCAATTGAAGAAGAATGTGCTCAAATACCAGAGGAAATGATACTGGACATTTGTAGGTTTATCTCTTCAAGATATTTGAGCACTTAACGTGAACTCATCATTATACGAACATTCTGCCATTGCCCCAAGTAGCTTTTATCTTATTAAAGTTAACTTTCTATGTTTTTTGTATATTTTACTCTCAAATTCTTTAAATATGTATTCTTTCTTTTGTATTAATCTTATTTACAAGTCAAAATACATAAATTGAATAAGTTATAATGATTCAAAGAGTGTATGCATTATTTTGGGACACTCTGTATATTCAGTGTTTCATTTTATTATAGATAAAGGTAGAAATAAATCTTTTTAAAACATTCTTGCAGGTAATCAGCATGCAAAACATGGAGGAATATGTTTATAGTTAGATGTCTATTTATTTTATTCAAAGACAGCTTATGAGTATTTTTTTGTAAATTTTTATTTCTAATGAAGTACTTAATTATTTAATTAATTATTTATTTTTAATAATTACTTAATTATTGTTATTTAATTACCAGTTTTACACCATCATATTATTGTTCTTTTTTGGTGAATTTTCACATTATTTTTTACCAGTTTTATGCCATCATAATGGATGAAGCCTTTTCATTGCTACATTTACACAATTGTTGATTTTTAGATAAGACATTTCCACTATTATTTTATTACTAGTTTTAATCGATCCTGGGATTGTTATTGTACTTATTTTGTTTATATTGCATCAATATACACTTCTAGCATTATAAGAAACATCTTGAAATAAGTAATAGAGTAGCAGCTGCCATCAAAAATTGAATATGCATCCCAAACCTAAGGAGACCATCTTTTCTCTCTCATGTGAAAAAAAGAAATAGTTTCTAATAAGATTTGAACTTGCATCACAAACCTCAGAGCCCCATCTTTCATGGATGTTACTATTGTAAAGTAATATATCATTGTGGCCATTACTCAAATTGCACAAACATGGACAACTACCC